CTCTCTCTCTCTCTCTCTCTCTCTCTCTCTCTCTCTCTCTCTCTCTCTCTCTCTCAAGCTTAAACTGTTTTGGTTATTATTGCTTGTGCGACTTTCGTATTTCTCGTTGCGTAAAACGATCTTCTTTGCATTCATGTTTTCTAAATAATACTATCAACTCGTGGCTAATTCTTTCTTTACAATATTAAGACTCAATAAGCTATCTGTTTTCTTCTTGTAGCTTAAGGGGTTTCTACTCCAGAGTGTAAATAAACTATCTATCTATCTATCTATTTCTCACAACTTCTTCGGCAAAACGACGGCGTCTCGGCCACAACTTCACGCGACGGCATATTCAACTATTTTCAATAGTATCGAACGGCGCTGTTCCATTTCGCTCGCTAATTCCCTCCTGAGAGACGCGAAATGCTAACCTTCTTCCGCGGACGCGTGCCTCCTACTCCCGCGACCTTCTTCGAGCGCGGTCTGCGCCTGCGCGCCCAGCACGTGTATAAAATATCGGCGGCTCGTAATCGCTAGTATACTCGCTCCGCGCGCACCGTGATAGACGCGGGGAGTACTCGTGCCGAAATCGTTGGACTTTGACACACGAAGCGAAGCGCCTCTCCCCCTAGGCGGTGCTTACCACAGGAAGACGCGTGATAAAGAAAGAAAAAAAAAAAAAAAACGAGGAGACAGGGATAGAGAGAGAGAGAGGAAAAGAGTTTCTATTCGGACAAACTGCTGACGAGAAGAGCAGAAAAACGGCGGGGTCCGGGCAGATGATTCGTCAGAGGAAGACGCCTGTAGGCTTTTATGAGATTGGTCGTACGATCGGATTCTGGGGGTGTCTTTGAGAGTAAGGGAAGTCGGGGATCTCGAGTCCTCGAAGGAAAATCCTATAGTCGATCGTAGCTCGTCGAGAAAGAAGGGCCGAGGCGAGAAGAGGCGATGAGCCGCGGACCCCGTGGTGATATAACATTTGTGATCAGCGAACTGTGATATATACATACATACTATCGTATACCTCACCTTAACCTTACCTACCTTGCCGGAGAGCCCCAGGTCTTCGCGCGGAGAGATCGGCCACAACTACTTGCATCATGGCAGAGTGAGTAGACACGTGTGTGTTATCAGTCTTCCGTTAGCTTCGCTCTGTTTATCTGCGCCGCTCCTTTTGCCGCCTTTGACTCGATTTCAGCGACGGACGAATTCCCGCCAATGTGGAAACGAACATCATTTAAGATTCTCCTCGGGAGAGCTCGCCAATCGCGGCTTTCCACGAGGAAGTGTCTCACAAATAAACCTACCCAAAAGGTACACTCCGATTTCTTTCTAATTTGGCAGAAATGTAGAAGTGCAAAAAATAGCGTTTCTGGTTTGCTGATTATGAATATATATGAAGTCAAATGTGTAAAATTATTTGTATAAATAATAAAATGTTTAAACAGG